TGATTAAAGACGTCTTTTGGACGTCTTAAAGGCGTTTTTAATTTAGCCTCGTATGGTATAACTTAACAATGTAAATATAATGTCTAAATATATATAATGTCTCAAAAACCGCCGAGTAACGAGTTTCAAGTGTTTCCGATGAATTTTTAAAAAACTCATCTGCCCTATTAAATCCGCCATTTTGAATTTTTAATAACTGACTTAAGAATAGTAATAAGAATTTTAAAAACCCAAAATGTAGAAATATTCATTTGCTAAAAAGTTTGTTCAAAAATGAATTTTCTCCAAAAAAATATCAAATTTTATACTTTGTTAATTTATAATTGTTTATAATTTTGCCTGAAACATTTATAATCATCATCATGTCTATTATTAAAACCATTTTTGTTTCACATCGCAATGATTTCTTTATAGTAGAAAAAATGTTGCATGGATAACACTGGGTTCCAAAAAATGGTCAAGTCGCGTTTATTTAAATTTTTTGTGCTTATTGAAAGTTAAGGTGTAACTAAACAAGAATATACGAGAATATACAAGAAAATATCTTTTCAGCATATTTTGAAGAACTGTAAAATGGAATCGCAACATGATAAAAATCTTCACGAGGGCTTAAATGAAAGCTTAAACATTTAACTTCAAGATCCAAAACTGAAAACGAAATGATAATCGCGCGGAAACTTGTTTATCATGTATTCGCTATCTCAAATAGTCAAAATAGCTGGGATAGGGAGCACTTGGTACAAACCGATTTCCGTAACTGGATTTATTTGGAACTTGACACTTGGAAGTTCATAACGTATCTATTGACGTATCTGAAAAATTCTAGTGTTACCGAAAACTCCTGAGGACAAGAAGCAAAAAAATTCAATCTAATTTCGAATATTTAGAACACCATTTTGATATTTTTTTAATCCAACTTTCGATACGTCAATAAAAACGTAATGAACTTCCAAGTGACAAAATCCAAATATATCCGGTTACAGAAATCGATTTTTACCAAGTGCTCTCTATCCTAGCTATTTTGACTGTTTGAAATAGCGATTACATGAAAAATAAGTTTCCGCGCAATTATCATTCAGTAATAAAAATTAAAGATAAAGATTTAAGCTTTCATTCAAGTCCGCGTAGAGATTTTTATTATATAAAGTTTCCAATTTACAGTGCTTTAAAAAGTGCTAAAAAAGGGATTTTTTGACACTTTAATCTCGTTTTTTACGGAACTGACAGAATGAAAATAATTTAAAACTATTGTTACTTTCAATGTTATAAAACCCAAATGATACATAAAAAAACTACCTACAATCATAAAATTTAATGAAGTAAATCAAAATTCACTTTACGTCAAGAAATGAAAGGAAATGGCAGGACTTAAAAAAAAAAAAATTTGAGTTGATTTTTATTATTTTATGTTATTTAGATGTTATTCTAATAAGTATCTAAGTCAGAAAAAATATATTCGATTTGTATTTTTGAATATTTTCTTCTATTTTCCACTGCTTCATTCACTATAAATTCAATTTTTTGTATTTTTTGATCTTAAAAAATTCGTAACTTTTTTATTGTAGCCTCTATTGAAAAGTGTTAAAAAAATGTGTCTTTTTGGGAGTATTTTTAGGGAAAAATAGTAGAAAATTAAAAAAAAAAAAATGAAAAATTTGAATTTTTTCAAAATTCAAAATTTGAATAACTCTTTTGTTTTAATCTCTATCGAAAAGTGTTGAAGGAAAAAAAATGTTTATTTTTGGTAGTTTTTTTATGGAAAATTAAGAAAAAATTTTTTTTTTTAAATTTGAGAAAAATTAAATTTTTTTGAAAATTCAAAATTTGAATAATGTTTGAATTTTTGGGCGGATAAGTCTGTCCGACGAACTCAGGCTTCATTTTTACATGTTGAAAGAGTATACCAAATTTCAAAGCGATTCGTTAAGATTTGTTAAAGTTATCGTTGGGACAAAAAAGTGTCTACAGACAGACGACAGACGACAGACAGACGGACAGGTTTTCAAAACCTATTTTTTTGGCATCAGGAGGTCTCAAAACGTGGAGATTTACATGAATTAGAAGTTGGTCAAAATCAACCAAAACGAATACTTTCTCATTTATGATGAGAATGTAAAAAATATTTTTATGATAATTTTCCAATTACATCTTCAGATCTAGAGGAACCGATTTGGTTAGGACTTGAACTCTCGAATCATGGGTTTTATAGTTTGTGTGTGTATCTGTGTATACAGCCTACAACCATTGGGAACTGCCGCGTTAACGCGCTCGATCAAGGGAGGCTATAAAAAAATTTTGTGTTTGTACACTGAAAAACTCTAAGGCATAGGGAGTTTCTAATAGTGCAAGTGACCTTAAAGAATTTATTGTTTTATTTTAAATAATTGTCAAGCAAATTTTTTTAAATATAAACATATAATTTCCTAAATTAATATTATATTTATAAATATTTATAATGGTCGGAAAAAATTCAAAATTATATACATTTATATGAACCATTATTTATAAATTAAATTTATTAACAAATACTATTTTAATTAATTAATTTATTTATAACTGTATATGATTACAATTAAATTATAAAATCTAAGTAAATTTAATTTTATTTCAAAAACATAATATTTTCCCTATAATAATATAGTAATTTCCATTTTTTAAATAACAAAATTACTTATCCTCCCAATTTCGGAAATATTTCGTACTAATATTGGTAGAGTATCCATTGTTTGTGGAAATTTTTCCGAAGTTTCAGGAATAAATTCCAATTTTCATTGAAAATACTATTTTTCCTCACATTTTCGGGAATTTTCACTGATTTTCAGAATCAGAAAACCAAAATGCATTAATGTACGCAGTATAAAAATGACTTTGAGTCTTAAAAATTAAAAAATTTGATAGCAATATCGTTTAAAAAATATTTTAGATTTTTTTGAAAAGTACATTTAAAAACACATTTTTGAAAAAAATACTTTTAAAATTAAGAAAAACAAGTTGTAAATTCAGATGTTCATTACATGAACATTTTGCTTCCTCTTTACGATCAGCAAAAAAATTTGCTTCCTCGTGGAGAAAGCAAAATTTTATTGCCAAAATGTGAATTTTTGATTTTTAACTTTTATTAATTCTTTAAATTTACCTCAAATATATACTTTATATATATATCGATCGATTCGTCTTGACGTAAGGAATACAATTATTTCATATATAAACTTCAATTTAAAAAATCACAAAATTTTATAGCCAAAATGTGAATTTTTGATTTTTTAACTTTCATTAATTCTTTAAATTTACCTCAAATGTATACTTTATATATATATATAGATCGATTCGTCTTGACGTAAGGAATACGATTTTATTATATATAACTTTAAATTTTTCTATTTAAAAATTTTTTCGATTAAAAAAAATTTTTTGGAAAAAAGACGATAAAATTTTTTTTTTTGGGTATTTTTCAAAATCCTTTGGTCAGATTTGAGATAATAATATGATAAATGAGCCTACCAAATTTTATCTAAATCCATTAAAACCTGTTAAAGTTATCTTCTAAACAAAAAAGGGATCCACACACACACACACACACATACATACATACATCCGGACAATTGATCAGGATCTCATATAACATGTTTCTATAAAGAAAAAAATTTGTTTCCGCCACTTTGAAAAGTTTTATAAACGAAAGGACTACAAAGCTTCCTCCACGAGGAAGCAAAATTATTAAAATTTTGTAATTTTGATAAATCCATATCTTATAAATGGCTTGGTAAAAAAAATTTTTAAATCATGATAGCTTGTCTCAATTAATATACTAAACGAAGTTATATTGCTTAAATTAAAAAACAGTTAAAGTCGTTCACAAGGAACTGTTTATTTTGTCCCTGTCAGTGACACTCATAATTTCCTGTACATAATTAAAATAATTATTAAACACATGATACATTTGAAGAGCACCATATATTATCGTGTTGTAAAATTATTTTTATAAGTTATAAGATATAATAATAAGCGATAACATAATGTTTAGAAATTCTGGAGACATGCCCATATTTTTTTATAAAAAAATATAAATTTTCAAAAAATTAGAAATTTTTTCATTAAGGTAAAAATGTCTTTGTCTATGACAAAATAGATTTCTAATACATTTAGTTATGTAATAGATTTTAAGTGTTTGTTCGTCATTCTGTAAAATTATGAGATTATTTCTAATCATATAGGAATATACAGAATGAGAGTGCACTTCTTTCAAAGTACAAATTAATTGTTTAAAACGCTTTAAAATATAAATATTATACAAACGCTAGAATTTAAAATTTCTTTGCTTTAAAATTGAAACTATAAAATATAATATACATACTACTGTGAACTTTTAAATATATGTATTAGGTAAGTGTTGACTTAAAATTTTTTTACATTAAAATATTTGAACTATATAGTGCGTTATATGGAAACTATTGATAATTTAAATTATAAGTCAATGAATTAATCTAGAAAATTATTAGAATTTTTTGTTACCCATTGTATTTTAAATATTACAATATTTAAATTGAAAACTGCAAATTGAATTGTAGAATATTTCTTAATTTAAGAAATGTTTTATTTTATTTTAAAAATATTATATTCTAACTTTAAGAATAAAATGCATGGCAAATATTCTTAAATACGCGCCAAAAAGATATTCTTAAATTTAGAGTATAATTTTTCCAGTATATTTAAATAAAAGTTTGTTTGCCTTGAAAAAATTAGCTTATATTTATTTCAAAAGTAGAATTTTAAAAAATAAAATTATTATTATTTTATTAATTCATTACAAAGAGTGGCACGTAACATAATTATATAAATTACCAAAATAATAGCTATTACAGTAATAACTTATTATTACCTAGCTGATTAAAATAATAAATAACCACCAATCACTTTATTTTTAGTGTCGCTATTAAATTTTATTTCATAATCGTCATTAATATTTTAATGATTAACTACTTAAGTAAATGAACGGAAGAACAATTTTCCGCAGACTATAAAATTATTCAATATAAAAAGTGGGGTAATATCGCTACTATAAATCCTCTTTACGGATCGAGATCTTCAGTGTTTCCGTAGAGATTTAAACCGTGAAAATATAATGTGTTAATATTAAATTAAGTGACATGGCTTCAAAGGTATTTTAAATTTTTGACAGAACATTATACTAATAGTAATTTGAATTTTTCGTGTAGAGTATTTACATGAAATCAACAATTAAATACAAATGTTTACAAGATTAACTTTGAATCACATATTTTGTTATTAATTATTTTATAATTTTTATTATTTAATTCTTTTTTTAAAGCATAAAATTTCTAAATCGAATTATGTTTAATTAAAATTGTATTTCGTACAACAAAACAAATGAGTAGTATTTAAATTGTCCTTGGGTTACGTTAGGTCACCTCTTATCAAATCACAAAATTTCTAATAAGGTCTACCATATAATATTCAGATTAATCTTTTTCGATTGTATAATACATTATGGTAAATCATTTTTTATCGCGTTTAAGACAAGATACTTTTTTTTTTTATTTATTTAAACTATATAAAATACTTTGCCTGACAATGATTATTATTTATTTAATATTGGTCATTCTTCCTCCACTGTACAGAGAAAAGTCAAATTATTTATAAATAATACTAATAATAACAATTATTATTATAGTAATAACAATAATTTTTTTAGGAAAACTCACTATTTGTAATTGAAAACAATGTCATCAAAGGTCAAAAGCTACCTCCGCTGGCACCTGATGTTCGTCTAAATGAAGTATTGTTGGAAAATTTAAAAAACAATCCAGATTTTATTGGACAAGTAATGAAACATTAATTTATTTAAAACAAAAATGTGTATAAAAAAAGATTTCAATAAGATTTTATCTAACGATAAATGCTTAGATAAATCTTTAACCTATAATAGGAAATCAATTTATTAATAGCTTGTAAATTGTTTTTTAATCAAACAATAAATATGCAACATTATCTATATTTTGTCTTTCGGGAATAAGAGGCGTAATACCTTAATTTATTTTTGTGTTGGCTATCAATGTGTACATATTGCAAGTCATTGAACTAATAATCAAGTAAAAACAATCAAAACTGCTTTGTAATGTTTCTCCTTTTTTTTTTAATTATTTGAAAATAATAAATAATATCAATTGTAAATTCGAAAATGGAATTTGTAATTAATCTAAAATAATAATAAAATCAATAATAATTATGACAAAAAAATTAATAACATAGCAACAACATAGTTAAATTACTAATTACTTATAAAATATAAAATCATCCAAATTAATAGAAATACAATCAAGCGACAATGAACATCAGAATAATTTCTATTTTTAGAAAAACTGGATAGAAACCAATTATAGCCAATTAACCCGTTCTAAGCTGCACGTAACACCCGAGTGGACACAAAACGTTCTATGTTCCAATATAACGTTCTTATAACGTTTTTAAAAAGTTAATGTTTGTTCACATAATGTTCTGAAAATGTTTTATATTTTCCAAAAGTTTTCGGAAAATGAAATGTTCTTAGAATATTTGTTAAACAGACCGAATTCGGTTGACATTCGTTTTGAGGTCAAAAATCTCAACAAATTAATAAAAATATGGTAAAAACAATTACTGTAAGTTATAAATAGATATCCAAAGTGTTAATTTGTGCAATATTTTTGATAAATTAGACAATAATTAACTATAATAATCTTGGTATTCATTCATTCATTCATTCATTCCGTCCGGACCCCTGCTGGGTTTTCGGTGACAGAGAAAAGAACAAGTTATGGAGAGAGAAAGATATACCTTTATTTTGTAAATGAGGGTTCGCTTGACCTGCAATCTTTTAAAGAGGATTAATTAATAACTCTGAGGACCCAGGTAATAATTTCTTTTTCCCTTTATCAAGTTAAAAAACTATAAAGAAAGTCTAAAACTAAAAAGGTATCGCATACCTTTCTTTCTTACACCAAGGAATATAACATAAGTACTTCTTCGTTTAACATTGCGTTTCTCTATCTAGACAATTCAAAATGGCATAAGATCACTTTTTTTCAATTTTATATATTTTTGTCCACTTTTTGGTATTACCATAAAGTTTGAACTCTTTTCCACATAATGCATATATTCTATTTAAATTATATTGTGATTAAATAGAAAAATTTCAAGTTTTTGGAACTTGATACATTTTTCTTGTTTTCAAGGTTTGTGTTAAACAGTGGGACACCTATTATTAAATAATGAATATTTGTTTCAATAATAATATTCTGCTTCATACATTATAAATATATATGTTTTGCATTAAATAACGTTAACAAATGTTGCAAAACACTTATATTTTAATAATATTTTACATTTTTATAATACGATGCCAAGTTTCATATAAAAAATTGTTATTATTTTTTTTTACGTTTACAGTACTGCTGATTATACGTCATAATTTCGTCATAACATAAAAACAATTTGGAGGAAAATTTGAATAGTCGTTCTCTTATCAAGTGTTATTTTTCAAATTTTGCCGAACAATAATTGTAATAATTATAAATTTTGAATTTTTTAATGTTTTTTAGCATAAAAAATCACATTTTTAGTCCCTGTGTAAGTATAAATGCGCTTGCGTATAGATAGTGTGTTGTCATAAACATGGTTTACATTTAAATTTTGGTCGAATTTCTTTAGCAGTTTTTCAGAAAATTAAAGTGACCTACTGTTTAAACTGTCCCACTGTTTATCACTCTCCCCTACCTGTATTAGAGCCCCAGAAAATTTTAATAAAAAAATTTAAAAATTATTACCTGGCCCCTCAGAATTAATCTTCATTAACAAAGGCTCTATTGTCCAAGAATTGGTATTGTTTGTGGTAATTGTTCTGAGAGTCTAATACTGGTATATACATATTTTTTTTATTTTGAAAACAGAAAGAAAGAAGAGTAAGATTTTTAGGCGAAGATATTCTTATGTTATTTTGAATCCTCTAGATAGAGAAATGCATTATTAAATGAAAATTATATGTTATATTCCTTGATGTGAGAAAGAAAGATATACATTACCTCTTCAGTTTTTTACTTTTATCTTTATATTTCCTTGTGATAATACACGGAAAAAATTTCGAGAGTTAATCTTCATTAACAAAGGTTCTATTGGCCAAGGGTTGGTACATCTTTATTTTTCTATATAATAAATGTGAAAAAAGAAATTATTACCTGGGTCCTCAGAGTTAATCCCCATTAACAAAGGTTCTATTGTCTAATGGTTGGTTTTTTTGTGGTATTTGTTCAGGGGTTTTAATACAGGTATAAATACGTATATATGTTATTTGTAATGAACTACTGATTACTCATATAAGAGTGTCCTTTTTGCACTTATTGGCTGATCAGTAGTTACTGATTCATAGTTACTCATAGTTCTCTTATTCTTTTGGATATTTGGTAGATTTATTGGATAAAAGGCAAAATTGGTTATATTGGATTAAAGGCAAAATTGGTTATATTTAGTAAAAGGTAAAATTAATTGTATTGAATTAAAGGAAAAATTGCTTATTTTTAATAAAAGGTAAAATTGGTTGTATTGAGTTAAAGACAAAATTGGTTATATTAGAGAGAGTGAGCAAAAGGGTTAAAGATATTTAGATTTTCATGAATCAAAAATAAAATTAAACGAAGTATACTATGGCCAACATAAAAGAGTATGTTATTTTAAGTGATAAAGATTTAAAAATTATTGAAAATAGAAATAAATTGTTAAATTACATGCATATGTACAAATTTGAAGAATTATTAAGAAAAGATTCCAATTCATTTTTCAATGTGCAAAGTACTTTGTATGTACAAATGCTTGATTTTATTGTCCCAATTAGAGAAGGTGATAAACATATTAAAATACTTTTTAGCGGTAATAACAATTATGGTCACTGAATTTATGTTTATTACGATAGAGTAAGGCTTTATATTTTTGATAGCCTTAATGAGGGGTGTTTAAATGTGCATCAAATAAAATGTTTAATTAGATTGTTCCCTTTTAAACCAACAGTAGTTTTTGAAGCTGTTAATCAACAACTTTTTGGTAGTGTTTAGTGTGGAGTATATGCAATAGCATTTGCAACATCTGTATTATTTAACGTAATGCCAAACCGTATAAATTATGAAACTGATAATAACAAAATGAGAAACCATTTTAAGTCAATGTTTGAAAATAATCGCTTAAATTATTTTCTGGCAGTAAGAACGTCTCACAATAGGAATTCGATAATAGAGAATAATTAGAACCGTCTTTTCATAAATTGAACTTAGGAACATAAAAACTATATTTTAAACTCTTGTTCTGTTTTTAATACTTTGCACAGTAATAATATTAACAGAGTTCTATTAACACAATATTTAAAAATTAAACATTCTCTAAATGATACTAGTGAAAAGAAAATAATTTGTACAACTGATAATAATGTGAACAAAATTTCACCACATGAATATTTAAAAATGAAGAATTTTCTGAGTAAAGAAAATGATAAAAAGATAATTCGAGCAATTAAAGAGAAGGGAAGAAAAAGGGAGGCAAGGCGCGAAGTTACATATGAGTAGAAAATAATAAGACAGGAGAATGAGAGATTGAGAAAACGTAATCGTAATAAAACAGATATAAAAAAGAAAGAGCGCAAAAAAAAATTTGACATGCAAAAAAAAGAAATTATCTATAAAAACTGAAGATGAAAATAAAATACGCAAGGATAAAAATTTGGCATGAAGGAAAAGCAAAATATCAATGGAAACTCAAGATGAAAAGAAAGTGCGTCAAAAAAATAATTTGTCATGTAAGATGAAAAAATTTTCTACGGAAACGGAAGATGAAAAGAAAGTGCGTCAAGAAAAGAATTTGGCATGTAAAAACGATAATTGGAATAAAAAAACTGCAGGAGTTGAAATAATGTTTTTTAAAGATTTCAATGAAAGTAAAGTTCCACAGAATTATTTAGGTTTAATAAATGTAGAATGTAAGTTTTGTAATGCGTTACATTTTTTGCGTGAAAGACCGTCACATAGATACATCACCTAGGAATGTCCCCGTGAAGAGGACATTATGATATCGCCTGAATGTCACAAAAATATTGCCGCTTGATATCAGCTTGACATTCGAGCAATATTCCTTGCTACTTGGGTGGTAGATCCAATATAAAGAAATTTTTTTTACATTTCTAATATTAAATTTTTTTAAAAAAAAGTGAATAAAAAATATGGTTAATGCACACTAGCAACGTAGTCGGCCGCTTGCGGACGACAAAGTTGCTAGTTAACTATAATAATCTTGGTATTCATTCATTCATTCATTCATTCATTCATTCCGTCCGGACCCCTGCTGGGTTTTCGGTGACAGAGAAAAGAACAATTTATGGAGAGAGAAAGATATATCTTTATTTTGCAAATGAGGGTTCGCTTGACCTGCAATCTGTTAAGAAGGATTAATTAATAACTCTGAGGACCCAGGTAATTATTTCTTTCTCCCTTTATCACGTGAAAAAGCTATAAAGAAAGTGTAAAACTGAATAGGTAACGCATACCTTTCTTTCTTACACCAAGAAATATAACATAAGTACTTCTTTGTTTAACATTGCGTTTCTCTATCTAGACGATTGAAAATGTCATAAGAACATCATCGTCTAAAATCTTAATCTTCTTCCATTTTTGTTTTAAAAATAAAAAAATATTCATTTATACACTACCGTCCGAAATTGTGCGAACTCTGCTTTTTCAACAACTATAAAACTGTTCAAATCTTCAAAAATATTAAAACTAAAATTTTTTCCTCTTTATTTTATTAAAG